CTGCAAGAGAGATATCCTCCGAATCTTCTGGGGGGGTGGGGGGGGCTGCTGGAGGTGATCCAGAAAGGGCAAGCCCATTTTTTTCCCCAGGGTCTTCAGGAACTTACAAGTGAAAGCAGTTTGCCTCTCAGAGTTTCCCACTCCTATTTTCATTCTTATAATGCAAAAAGGGGTCTGCAATCAGGCAAAGACATGGCAATTTAGTGACAAGGGTTCAGTGTTTAAGGGTGGGAGGAAGAAACGTTTTAGCCATTTTGAAGATGAATTTTGGTGGCACAATCTTGATGTGCTGAGAAGCATCACATAGCCCATGGACTGCCCACAATTACTATATAATTTCCTATTATATATAAACGGAAAAACTGTGGATTATATCCTTCTTGCTAACAAGGGTACGAAGAATCATAAAGTGTAAATAACTAACTATTAAGTAGTGTTTCGTGGTTCAACTATAACAGGAAACAAGGGTTTATTTAATCCATTTTAATACTATTTGCCTCACTGAAAATTGCATCTGAAAGCAATTAGTATAACCAATTAAAATGAGCATATATGAAATACAATAAAATCCCCCTATATAAAATGCAGAAGAAATAAGAGTTTAGCATTTAAATAATTCAAAGAAGCATTTGAAATATTAAACACCCATATATTCAACAATCAGTTAAAGAACCTGAGTTTGATGAAATAACAGTATCAGTGCTGGCCAGGTCAAAGATACAAGTGTAGAACCAGATGTACAAGACAGTATATATACCTGTTGAGAACAAAATTAGAAGAAAAAAGCATAAAGAGGCTCCATTCATTTCCTTGGCAAGTGTAACCAAGCATAGCTATTTCCCAGGCCAATCTACCTAGCCCAGCACCAGGTACCAGGATATTAACTTTGGAGAGATCCCTGAAACAACAAAAATGGTTAACCTTTAATTAAATATATTTAAGAAAAATAATTCCAGTTAATTTTGGATAATGTTTTCTATTTCCCAAGCTTGGTTTATTCTAGCAAAAAGCAATCTTCAACTTGTCGATTGACTCTATTCATAGAATATTATTCACATTTATAATCCTCAAATTTGCCAATCTAAGTTTTACAATATTTTTTTTTCTGTTCTCTGTGCTGAAAGTGGCCTGATTCTTTTAAATACTGGAAAGCTACTAATAATAATTTCAAAAGGAAAGTATCTTTTTTTTAAATCACAGGATGCATTTAAGAATACTGTGACTTTTGACTGCACTTTGCACGAACTTGAAATGTAATCTTATCCTTGTCTTTTCACATTTTAATTCCACTTTGTTTAATGGGATTTCCTTCCAGGTAAAGTTGTAAACAATAAGTAAACATGGATAAGACTACTATCTAGACAGTAACTTCTTTGTCTTTAAGATAGTGATTTATTTTCAAGTTTATACATACAGCACTGAATTATTAGCTTGCTGAGTATTTTTTGAAAGTCTGTAACATACTGAAGACCAGTCTTAACCATATACATTACCAAAAGGATCTATTCTATTACTCTGACATCCATACCATTCTATGGAACCTGAACACTAGCTCACTACTTGGCAATTTCAGTGGGTCTTAATAAACATTATTACTGCTATTCAAATTCTGAATACATGTTTTATTTTGCATTTCATTCTGTTAACAGAATGAAGGAGGTTAACAGATGTTTTATGATTCTCAGTCTGTAAGGTTTGAGGAATATCTTTAATTATAAATCTTGACATACTGTAACATTGCCAGCCCATTGTACAGAATGCTACTTTACTTTACATAATGGTACAAATTAAAACCCTGAGAGCCTTGAGAATTAACCATGCTTTTGGAGGCATGCTTCAAATCAGCCTTCCCCAGCTTCTGGCATCTCCAGACATGTGGAGTTCAATTTCCAGAATTCTCAGCAATAGTTATGTTGTCTAAGAGCTGAAGGTCAGACATAGAGGATACCTAGTTTAGGAAGGTTGTTCTAAGCCAAATACAGACATCAAGCCTTTTCTTTTACCAGAATTATTCCAAGCATTAAAACAGGCAGCTGATTTTTCCGTGGCAAAATAACTTCCTCTCTCTGCCTATGAAAAATATGCCATGTAAACTTAATAAACTTTAGACAATTGCTAACAGCCCTGAAATAGTTAAGTAAAAATGATACAAGTTGTATTAACGTAGGGAAAAAAAAATCCCTTCTATTCAGCAAAATGGATATCGGATAGAACTGGATATTCTAAAAAATAAAATAAAAATCAATCAGACATACGGTCATCAATTAATCTGTATCCCAGTTAACTCATCAAAATGGCTCAGTGGATGTACCTTGATTCATTTTAATGCTACATGAAAGATACTACAGGTAGTCCTCATTATCTGACCACAACAGGGACCAGAATTTAGGTTGCTAGGCAATTTGGTTGTTAAGTGAATTGTCACATGACCAGTGCTGATTTTGCGACCTTTTTTCCCAATTGTCATTAAGTGAATCACATGGTTATTAAGCGAATCCAGCTTCCCCATGGATTTTTTTGCTGGAATTCACTTAATGACCATGTGATTCGCTTTATGACTATGTGATTTGCTTAATGACTATTGTAAAAAAGGTCGCAAATCACAATCACAGGACCACAGGGTGGTGCAACAGTTTGCAATGGTCATAAGTGCAAGTACAGGTCGTAAAGTGCTTTTTACAAGGCCACTGTAACTCTGAACCATCGTTAAATGAACAGTTGTTAAGTGAGGACTATCTGTAAAACTTAAAGCATTATTGCTCCTGACAGATTTTTCAATGCAAAAGCAGGGACCAATTTGTTTATACTGTTCTTTGCCCATCCACAAGAGAGATCTCTATCCACCTCTGAATAAGAGAAGCATACTATGAAAGTAAACTAATGAGACTTAGTAAAACCAAACTACTATGCATAGTGATTCAATCTTTAATCAAATGAAACATATTAACATAATATTATAAACAAATAATATTGACTTTTTTCAGACGCACAGCACTAAGACTTAAGCTATGTAAGCTCATCAGCATTTTGTAGAACTATTTAAATATTAGTATCAATACTCGAATGTAATATCTACTTTATTTGTGAAACCTAAACCAGTTTTCATTTCACCAAAGCTTATTATTACTGAGTGCATCCACAAATATTGGACTGTATCCAGTATCATTCCACTGACAGATTCTGTTCCAACCGGTAGATTAGATTGTTAATCTCAACCTATGTTTCTGTGTACAGGTTCTGCGTATAGGTGTTGTGTAATCTAACATTCAGGTTTTTCAGAAACCAGTGTTAGGCTGTTTAACATAGCATAAGTATCTCTGAAAATAAAAGAGTCAAGAAATTGCTCAATCAATTGCTCGAATAAGAATTTTGGAGGCAGAAAATGTTTTCAAGCATGTGGAAAGATGAAAGCCACAACTTTGTACCCATTCCTTGCCCATTCTCATTAAGCAAGCTAGACCAGGGGTTAAGGGAACCATCATCTCTCCTGCATAAAAGAGGCAGTAATAAGAAATCTACTGAAGAAACCCTTCATAGAACTGGGTCTTTGGGACATTTACCCTGGTTCTTGTGCTACCTGTTGGGCCATGTCCTGAAAGGGATGATGAGGAACTACTTTTGACTGCTAGATCACTGACTGATGGTATCCCAAAAGAGTCCATGTGGTTCTCCATGCTGTTCGATATTTGCACACAACCGCTAGGGGAGAGTTTTGGTGTGGGATGCTATCAATATGCTCCTTACCATCTAATTCCAAGAAAGCAATGTTGAATGTTGCCCAAGTCTGATACTAATCTGAATGAGAAAGATGCTAAAATTAAATCCAGACAAGGTAAAGCTGTTATTGGTAAGAGGAAACTGGACTTGGGAATTCAGTTTCAGCGTGATTTTGATGGGGTTGCACTCCTCATGAAAGAGCAAGTTTGTAGTCATGGTATCCACAGATGGCAGCTATGGCGAGGAGCACCTTCACACGATGTATTGTCCAGCTATGCCCCTTCCTTAGCTAGTCAGATCTGGCGAAATTATTCACTCTTGATTACATTTCAGATTGCTAATGGAATGTACTCTTAAGAAGTGGAAGCTGCAGTTGGTGCAAAATGTGACCACTATTTACTAACCAGTGCAAAGTACAGGGATCGTATGTAGGCCATATTGAAAGATCTGCACTGGCTGCTAATTACTTACTAGGCACAATTTAAAGTGTTGATACTGACCTTTGAAATCTAAATGGATTACTGCCTGACTACCTAAAGAACTGCCTCTTCCATTACAAATCTGCCAGTTAAGATAGGCAGGAGAGCCCTCTTGAAGATTTCCTTGCTGTCAAGAGTTTTATCTTTCTGGCACAAAGGAGAAGGCTTTTGCCGGTGCTACTTCCAGGCTATGGGATGAACTCTCTCAGGTGTTGCATTTGGTTCCCGTTCTCAGCATTTAGGAAATATAGAAGAATGCATCTATTTTTGATGATTTAAACATTTCATTGTTCATATTAATCTAAAAGTATTCTAAACTTTTTATATTGTTTTAAATTTTAAAGCTGCCCTGAGTTCCCAATAGAGCAGAAAAGTAAAGTATAAATCAGATAAATAAGCAAATACAGGTAATCCTTGACTTACGAACATTCGAAGTTACAGCAACACTGAACAGACTTACGACCCATGCCCAAAGTTACAGCTGTTGCAGCATCCCCACGGTCACGTGATCAAAATTCGGATTCTTAGTCGCACTTACGATCACAGGGGTTCTTCAACTACCCCACCTGCCACCCTGCACTCTGCTGCCCCAGCTGAACTTTGCCATCTTCTTGCTCCCACTGTTGACGAGGCATGCCTGGCCTGGCTGTGGCACCAGAACTGAAGTACTGCTTTTTACTTTTGGGGGGGGGGCTGCTTTTTACTTTACTCCCCCCATCTATGCCCTTTCGGCCCCTTGCTGCCCTGCGCTCTGCCACCCCAGCTGCCTTTGCCGTCTTCTTGCTCCCACTGAGTC